TTATGTCTTTAATGGTTTTAACAGGGACGAATTTATTCACAGCCGTCAAGAATAAGTCTTTCCAATTCGACCAGTATTGGACAATATCATCCGAGAAAGCGTTCTCAAACGGTACATTGGACAAGCAGCTACGCAAACCTTCAAAGTTTGCCATTTTGTAGTTGTAAATTCGACGTTTGACATTCCTAGCTCGCTTAAATTTAAGTTTGATCTGAAATTCGACGATATAATGATCGGTTGGAAATTTGCACTGTTCGGGAGTAGATGTTTCGACATTCGTAATAATTTCAGGACAGTTACTTAAGAAGGTCAAGTTTATTGCCACAGTTGTGGGTAGGACCAAGAATGAATTGCTGTAGGAAATTATCATCAAACAGATCGCAGAAACTGTTTTCCAGTTGACCTCCGGCCGTAGTAGGGATTTGTTCATCGAATGTAGTCCAGTCAAGTGCGGGAAGATTGAAGTCTCCTACCAAAACAATACAGCTAGATTCGCTTGTATTCTGAAGTGATGAACTAAGGTGATGGAAAACTTCGGGGCCTGAAACAGGAGGACGATAAAACGTATACAGGATTACAGGTTTACTGTTCGTGTTATTAAGTTCCACTACAACTAGTTCGATTTCATTTCTTTCGAGATCTGGCCGTCTAGTCGCATGCAGATTGGCTTTCACGGCAACAAGCACTCCGCCCCCAACCTTTTCAACTCTATCTCGGCGAAAGACACTATATCCAGGCAGCAGCTCGCTGCTTATAATTGAGTCATTGAGCCAAGTTTCGCAAATGCAGATGATGTCATAGGACCCACTATGAACTAGTTCCTGTAACAAAGTGATCTTGCAGACTTTAGCAGAAGAATCATCATTAAATGGCACAAAAGCTTTAAGACTTCGCGCGTTCAGATAAATGGCATTGAGTTCATTACTAGTGTGTTCAGTCGAAGTTCCAGGTCCTGGATTTGTAGCAACGTCTCCAGATAATAATATTAGCAGGAATAAGTGTAGATTATTCTTCTTTATTTTAAACTCCAAGCCATAACGATATTTAGAAGACATTGCACATTTTCTTAATACGACATCACGTGTAGATGTCCAAATGTAGCTCAATCTGTCCGGTATTGATGTTAGTTTCGATGAAATGACGATATTCCCAGGCATTGAAGTGTTGTTGTGGTGAGGTAGTGCAGTTTTAGATCTTTTTAATAACCAAAAACTTACTGCCAGAGTCAAAAACCATTTAGCCATTGAATTGAACAAGATTCGATGGGTATTATAATTCATTGTAGTGACAATTTGATCGTGTATGATTGGATTAATTGATTCTAATTGACTGTCTTGACCGCACGAAAACTCGTTATAGGTGATCAAATTACGTCAGCATACAATCACGTCCGCGCTGGCGATTGTCAACGATATTTCTTGTAAACAGCAATTGAAAGACACAAAAACCACGATGATATATGAACTTATTAATAAGAAGAAGTACTTAAAACCGTTTGCAAACCTCAAATACTCGTAGACTATACTTTTATTCACCACATTCCAACAAATTTTACTGAAATCTTGTGTTCTTGATGGAAAAAAATGCAAACTTTTGCGAAGCGCCCAGCGTGCGTGCGCACGCTAACGCGCGATGACGAAGGATTTCATGACGCGCGATGACGAAGGATTTCATGACCTTTGTGAGCACTCCATTCCCAAACAACCAAATAATTTTGCTATATGAACAAAGCGAACAAAATAAATGATTATATAAAATTAAATCCTGATACGACGCAAAATTCACGACAACTATATAATTGTAGTAGCTTAATTTGCTCACAGCCGCGGCATTGACTGATAAAGGACGTATTTTGACATAATTTATGAGTTGAGAACGTGAAGCCTGGTATAATTTAAAAGATCGACAGTGAAGTGAGAACTATACGGCCGGATATGCAGATCCTCGTTCTATAGTAAAACACAAAAAATACAAGTTAAATTTGGATAAGATAAAAAAACTTGAGAAAAACGTGAGCAATTTATTTGCCTTAACTTCATGTAGTCATAGTAAATTTTAGGTTTTAACCTAAAATTTACTATGACTACATGAAGTTAAGGCAAATAAATTGCTCACGTTTTGCTCAAGTTTTTTGATCTTATCCAAATTTAACTTGTATTTTTTGTCCGTTTCCTTTTTAATCTAAAGTGAAAACAGCGAATTCAATTAATGCACCAATTCGTTAAGCAAATATTCTAAGACAATTAAGAAAACAACTATGACACACACAATGTTGTGGGAGAAGGGTTGCCGAGGAGCCGTTCTATAGTAAAACCCAAAATTTACTATGACTACATGAAGTTAAGACAAATAAATTGCTCACGTTTTTGATCTTATCCAAATTTAACTTGTATTTTTTGTCCGTCTCCTGTATTATCTAAAGTGAAAACAGCGAATTAAATAAACTAAATATTAAATAATATTTTATATTAGTAGGCTAATAGTTGCAATAGTATTTTTGTCTACTGCGTCTTCGGTTTAAAATCTGATTTTAATATTTTTAAACGACAAAACCTTAATCTTTTTTATCACTTATAGTCAGACTTTGTTCGAGTTTTTCAGTTTTCTCGAAATTCGACATGTCTTTTGATAAGATTTATGACTTTGAACCTTGTTCTCTGGTGCCAGTGCATTCCATGTTTTGTTTGATCTTATATAAAGTTCTTGCTTGTCCTTGCGGTATTCCAGTAAACCGTCAATTGCAGGCACTTTCTGCGCGGCCGAGGAATCTGGTACGACTACAATCTAAAATTGGTAAAGTCGAGTGCTGTAAATATTACTAAACATGCACGTAAAGTGGTAAACGGTGGGGGAAAATACTGAATGTATGACGGCTAATTGAAAGGTTGCTTTCTTCAGAACACGGTAATGCGACGGGTTTTTAACGTTCTTTCGCCATTTTCATTGGTGTAAACTAGAAACTAAAAACAAAAAAAATTGATTAATTGCTCCTAAAACAAAATATAAACTCACCCCATCGTTCAGAAGTGTGGAGTCTTTATTACAGCTACCCTTAAAAATAAAGGAAACAAACAAATATACATTATATTTCCTTATTAATTGATAATTGAACGAGCTTTATGTTCCTGGACGTAACGTGTCTAATGAATTATTCATTTAAATGTTTAATTGTTCATTTAAACTGTAAAATTACCAGTTGTATGTGCACAAATAAATTAAACTAGGGTACCTGCAAGGTAGGGATTGCTGCGGGCATTAAAAGCAAATAGAACTACAGTAGACAGCACAAATTATACCAAGCACAGTGATTACTCGCTGCGACTAGTGAGCTGTGAATGGAACTGAGAAAAGGCAATATATATTGAAGTAGCAAAGACCAGGGGTTAAAGGGCAATCAGAGGTGAGATATATTAAACATGTGCGTCTTATTGACATACAGGTACTGTAAATTAAGATCAGATTTCATATCAAGTCTGTTCACTGCCAGGCGCATTTACCCATTATATAGACTATATACACAGATTTATCACACTGAGAAACCAAAACTTAATAAAAATATAGAACTGACAGTGGCCAAAGTCCAAAACAAATGCAAGCGTAACATTAGACTTGAAAAAGCTTTAGAAATTCGATAAAAATTCGAACACTCGAGCGAGTTTAAAATTTGTGTTCTGCGCATAGAAAGCGCGCACGACCACAATTCCATGCGCTAAATAAAATTTAGTTCAAAACCCCCTCTCTGCCGTTAGGTTGCTGCTACGCTCACTCGCTTCAGGCTCGTTCGCTCCGCAGCAATTATTATTAACCTTTTGTTGTTGGCGACTTCGGATAAACTGGCAAGATTAAGTAATTAAAATCATCTACACATGTCTCTACCTTAACAGGAACAACACCGTGTCCAATCAACTTATACGAAATCAATTTTCCATCATCTCGCTTGACTTGATAATCCATACATTTCTTCCAGAGTCTCTTAGGAAGACTGGATCTTACCCAAAACCACGTGAACACGTTCTTTATAACTGTGCCACCATTAATGGCTTTACAATTTTCAGCACAGTAATCTTTCGTACCTCCCACAGGACCATAGCAACCACAGCACTAATTTTATAAAGATAAATATATATTAGGTCTCCCCGTCTTTGAAATGGTCAGGATCGGGATCAACGTAACGCTGTTTGACAAGTTTAATTTAAATAAATTACTGAACAAGTCCCTCCTTATTACAATAAAAAAGTTCTTTAATAAGTGCGTGAGCAGTTTAGCTGTTCTAGATTTTAAGGAGTAAGTAGTAGAGTACTATTGCACGGTATTGTACTATAGTCAATCATAGTACATCAACAGACGCTTGCATATAGTTTAATTTAAAAATTAATCGAATTTTTTTTATTCACAATTATTTTATATTTTACGCATTAACAATTTTTCAACAGAAACTGTTAATTAATAAAATTACCCTGCATGCCAAATTATAACCTTTTGAAGAGTCTTTGCAATGTGCAAAAAATGCCAAAACAAGGCTAGTTATGATTTTTTGCTCAATCTTGCAAAATGTACTCCGATTAACAACATGGTATTGTATTTATAGTTGAATGGTATTGTAGATGGAAATTATCGACCAGGAACAGCTGCCAGAAACAAAATTTTGATATTACATATTTATACACTTTGTACTGAAAAGTGTTAGATTTCATTTTGATCATGAAGTATTCCATAAAGTGGTTGAAATTCATTTTGGGAGAAAAAAAGAATGACAAATATTTTTGAATCGGTCTATAAATACATGTATATTCACTATTGTACTGTACCTTGATGTAATATATAAGGCTCAAACTAGGCCAACCTCGTACCCAGGCTCTTTGGGAGGTTGAAACTAGGCTGGAAATCTTAATTTCCGTACCTGATTCATCTAAAACTTGGATCAATAGTGATGGACGCAAGTGATAAAAAAATCTCAAGTAGTATTGGTGTGTTAAACTGAATATTTAGAAGCACACATACAAAATTTTTTCCGGACATAACATAACGTATATAAATACATGCATACTCGCATTGTACTGTACCAATATATTTAATGCTCTAGCTGGGAAATCTTAATTTCCGCACATGGATCTCAAACTTGCATGGACCAATAGTGATGGACGCGCATGTGATAAACAATCTCAAGTCATTATGGGTGTGTTAAACAGGACATTTAGAAGTAAAAAAATTGAAACAAGCGAGGTTTTCAATGGTCATGTACTACATTTGTTGAAAAGTCCTTACATATCCATTGTCGCATCCTACTGAAGCAGTTGCGTTGTACTCCATGCCAGAAATGGTTCGTGTTGTGCTGAAACTGTATGCAAGAAACATTTACAATAGTAAGAATAATAAAAACAGGACTACTATTGTATGTCGTTTAACTAGATGAATCTAATATAAATGTTTGTAGATAAATTAAGGGAATACAAAATTATAGTAATTATAGCATTATTGATTCTAAGGTTTCTCACGGGTCTCACCTAAACCCTCCGTGAAAATCGACTTGGTGCTTTACAACATCGTGAAAAGCAAAGCCCCATGGACATGGCTTTTGCAAGCAAGAATTCATCTTATGCTAAAAATAATGAACAATTATGCTTAAGTTATTTGAGTGCAATAATTGAAGCGGTGATTACATATTGGAGCTGGGATTTCCCTATTGTTTTCACTGAGAAATGAGATCCCCAATTTTGTTGCGGGCAATGGGATTTGGCAAAGCAGTGGGTTTGTTGGGATTCAGGGAAAATTTTGGCAGGATCCGAGATGAATACAATTAAGATCCTCTTATTTCTTTGCAACCCGCCTAAATATAGACACCTCCCAAATTTCCTTGAGTGCACAAGGAGCAATTCCTTAATTAAATCGAAACGGAAAATTTTATCCACTGCGAACTGGTAGTTTTCATTACCAACAAGCTTTGCAAGTTTCTATTCAGTATACAAGTTTACCAACTGACATGTCTTTATTCTTTTTATGTAACACAACAAAAGGAAGAGTACAAACTGCAGTGTATATAATCTCGAACGAGGGGGTGCATCCAGGATGCCAGATATTATCTTTTTATTCACAGCATTCGAATTTTCGAAAACGTAGAATATACACAATATCTCAGTATTACCCACTAAATACAATACATATAAACAAAATCATCCTTACCCATCCAAATTTAACCAAAGGATGATAAGCAAATCCAAATTTAGAGCAACGTAGTCTTGTTGTAACAATTTTCTCAGTTAGAAGATCTTTGACGTAAGCAATATCTCCAATTCCAGCTGATCTTTGATCACATCCACCAGTATTCATCATTAGATTCTTCAATGGACGTTTTGATTGTAATCTATAGGACCTAAATATATTGAAATTTTTATTGGATAAGAAAATGTAGTTGTTTTTGGTTGTATTACTCTACCTCATCTTGAAAACGAGAAAACCGACACGACACGTCCTTTGCAATTAAGGCACCTTTCTTATAACAATATATGTACTATAGATAAAGTTATAAAACATATAAAAACCTACTATATATATCAAACATTATAATTATACTTTATAGCAAAAGCAAAACCATCAATGCATTGTGCATGACAATGAATAATAGAAAATAATTTATAACTCAAATTTGCATAACACATATAGAAAAGCTGAGTTTCATTTTTTTCTATACCGCTTCATCGTTCTACGTTTCTCATGCAGTAATCATTATTATATTTATACCTGTATAGTGTTTTAATTAAATGTTTCATAAATATGGCTGATGGAAGGTGAACGTAATATAAAGTTTAAGGATATAGTGCATAGGCCTAATTGTACAATAATAAGTTCTTTGTAGGTTTGCATGGCGATAAAACATATAATACTATTGTGTGTGGAAACACCACGTAAATTTATTACTGCAGTAAATGCAGCAATAAATTTACGTGGTGTTTCCACAAACAATAGCATTATATGTAAAATAATAACTTCACCTATACAGAATAAACTGGCTCTCAGTCCTACATCACACAGTATTTATATCTTTACAAAAGTGCTGTTATTACAATTTTTTGTTATGTCTTACACTATTAACATCTTTAATATACTTTTCCCGTATGACGAGAGGTAAATTGCTTAGAATATACCCCCACTGCTGTACTTGATGGTCTTGATAAAAAAGTATATCCAGCAACGTGCCATTAGGCTTGACGAAAGTCTATCCGTTTACCGTTTTATCGTCCAAGTTTCCTTGGTAAGATTAGGAAAAGTGTAAAAATTTGGGTCCAAAGTTTAATTGTAGGCTATTATTTTAAAGTTCCTAAAACCTACCAGTCTGCTTTTGTTGTTTTAAAATCCTCCCTAGTCGCCATCTGTACCCTGAAGTCCAGGATTGGTGCATCACCCAGAGAGCTGGACCAATGAGGTTCACCATACGGTTCAACTGTCAGTTTATTGGATGGAACTGTCCACGTGATGGAATTATTTTTGCGACCCATCAACATGAAACCTCCACCATCTGTCGTCATATCGCAGAAAATCTGAGGAGAAAGGTGGCAAGCACGCATTTGGAAACAGTTTGGTTCAAAAATAAGTTCTTTGTATGTTTGCATGGCGATAAAATATAATAGTTTTGTTTGTGGAAACACCACGTAAATTTATTACTGCAAAGCTTTCGATCCGTAAGCCCGGATCTTCATCAGTGCTAATAATATGTATCTTGCGGATCGAAAACTTTGCAGTAACAAATTTACGTGGTGTTTCCACAAACAAAATTTTTATAGTTTGGTTCAAATTAAACAGAAGGTTGCAACTAGCTAAGTTGACTTAAGCCCCGTTTACACTACTCTCAATTTTTGGTACGGCACGGATAAAATTGGTACCCGTACCACTTTTTTGGTTCTTGGACTACCTATTTAGCTAAGCCCCGTTTACACTACGCTCAATTTTTGGTACCATGCCACTTTTTGGTTCTTGGACTACCTAAATAGGTAGTCCAAGAACCAAAAAATTGGTACGGGTGCCAATTTTATCCGTGCCGTACCAAAAATTGAGCGTAGTGTAAACGGGGCTTAAGTTAATTCCATAGTGCGATTTCTTGTTATTTCATTTTTTAAACAGCTTTAACCATGCAGGAAGAGTGGGGTAGTGTTGAGTGTAAATCCAGGTAATTCAACAAAGATTTAATTTCCTCGTTAAATCAACTAAAATCTTGGTTAAACTTGCATGTCCAAATTGAAGATAAATATAACAACCAGAATTAAAACATAACCGAGGATAATATTTATTTTTTCTCTAGAAATTTCAAAGAAGCATTTTTAAAAAAGAGTTGAAAGAAAAATAAAATACATAGATAAAACCTAGAAAACAAAAAAATGCAAAATAATAGAAGGTAAGTAAAAGATCCAACCTTTATGGGTTTTGAACGTTTTAAAGTTATCCAGTAAAATCCATCTTTAGCGTCTTCAAGCATGTCCAAAATATCAGAACAATTAAGACCAGCGTCAAAAAATTCACCAATTGTGTTCTTTGAGCCTGGTGAGATATGGTATAAATATTGCATGTAATAATAAGATCTTGTTCACGTCTTAGAATTTTTAAATCAAGGGCAGGTTACCATGCCTATATATTAGATAAAAATAGCTCAAACTCATTAATAATGAGTAATGTAGTCAAACATATTCTTATTCAAACTCATTAATAATGAGTAATGTAGTCAAACATATTCTTCAAACTCATGAGCAATGTAGTCAGACATATTCTTTATTCAGCTCACATGACGACATGCACTTGGATACATAGAGATTTTAAATAACACTAGAGGAGGCATCGAGTTTAAAAATTGGGAACGCAGCTAATGGGGGGCAAATTCAAGTCCCGGATATAAAATCGTGCTCTCATTGGCTGATTTGAAACTCGTCACCAATGGGAACACGAATACACATCCGGGACTTGAATTTGCCCCCCAATAGTCGCGTTCCCTTTTTTATTTACTGAATTAAGATTACAATGTCTCCTCTAGTGTTATTTATAATCTCTATGCTTGGATATCTAGTGAAGTAGCTATGTTGGTGCAGTCCAGTCCTGAGACTGGATCAGAATTAATCCAGTTTAGTTTTTGAAGTGAATCAAAATTAATTCACCTTACTTTAAGTAGTGATTTATTTGTATGCGATATCATATAGTCTGGATATCTGGTAAAATCTTAGTCGGATTTGATTACATAATCATGCGAGAATTGCAAGCGTATACCGGTACCAGTATTACCTGGACATCAAATAAAATTTTTAAAAAAATTATTGAAAATAATTTTTGACAAAATCATGATCAATTTACAGTGTTTTAAAAATTAGTAAGTAATTGGCAGGATGAATTATACTCGAAAACCTCAACTCGTTTATACGAACGAATTATGTTAGCCTATACTAAATGATGCTAGATAATTAGATTCCAACATGAGTGGCCGTGTTGTGTCGGATTAAAAACTCAAGCCGAAGCAAATGGCTTGTGAAACGTCTTGATGAGAAACATTCGTATTCTTCAACAAAATAAATGAATGATATTTGGTGAGAAAATTGAACTTAAAGTTAGTGTAAATCAGCATGATTCTGTAGCAGATATACGAATTCCTTCACGCTTCTGCTTTCTTTTGTGTTTTCTTCGTGAACTATTAACGAGTTTCACAAATGAGGTTATGAAATAGTCAGTTGCTCTGGGATGCAGCGTTATATAGACTTGCAGACGATTGATTCTGATTTCAACTTATGTTTATAACCGATAGTAGTTAGTCGAAATTTTCTATTAGTGTATAATTATATAGAACATGAGACTTATAATCGAGATGAAAGAGTAACATTACGACATTTTAGGCTAACTGTTGCTGATTGGCTAGCAGCTAACAAATTCCAGTAACTTAACTGGAAAACTGAACAGCCTTGAATCCCCTTGATTTATGAGGTGGACTTACCATCTGTGGGCTTCCACTGATAAACACCTTTATCTTTGGCACAAATCAGAATTATTTCTTCATCAGTTCTGTTTTTGACCAAAACTTCCTTCCCATGAGCTTTCTTGTTACAAGAACCAGGATCGTAACTATTCAGTGCTGGAATACGCTAAAGTAAACACGTTGTCAGCGAAAATAACCCTTTATTAGTCATGGGTTGATACTGGAGAAGAAACTTAAACAAAACAAAACTATATAAGTTTTCATTATTTATACTTCATAGCAAGCTATACTCCAGTTCCGCATTAACTGTCCTCTTATTCTTACATCAAGGGCTATTCTTTATTGAATTAATATCAGGCTAGACTCTAAGAAACTATTAAATATACTGAGCTGTGTTAGCTCCGTCTAAACTGTTCTCCTGTGTTGTTAGAAAAAGGCTTGAACTATAAACTCGCTATATGCATACTTGACAGTTCCAACTCTTCTAAAACGTGTTGAAAAGGGTTCAAGTAAAGTCCAACGCATGCCCTATTGGTCCAGGGTTGCACATATGAAACTAAAGTAAACTAACATTATTTATAGTGAAAGCTAGCTATCAATGCTCAAACGCTTTTCATGCAGAAGTCTAGTTTTGGGACCGCTGCACTGATTGGTCTCAAGCTGTTGCGGTTGCTCTGCCGTGTTTTTTGAAGCTTTTGAATAAATAGATAAATAAATAAATAGAGTTCCTGGTACATGTATATAGAGGAATTAAGAAACTCAAATATTGCGACCGTAGGCTCTTTACTAGCTCGCCTCAATTAGTTCTTTTTACACTGATAACATTATCACCCCCAAACTGTTCCCCTAGAGGCATTTTGTGCTAGAGGTTCGCGGTTCTATATATCCGTCAAGTTGTTATTTTGGTCCGCACTACGGGTGTACATGTCCCAGCCAAGCTCCATGGCCTTCTACGAGTGGACCAAGTTGGCAGGCAGCCAGTCTTCAATAGAACGGGAGCTCAAGATACACCAAATCTACGACGCGGACGTGACGAAAAACTGCCGCTATTATCACAGTCTCACTTCACGGGTATATAAAAAACTACGGATTGTTGTTGGTAAACAAAGCCATGCAGGTACACGAGAAAAACAAAGTAAAAATAGTTTCCAATTATTACCGACTGTTTTTTAGTCACGTTTGCATCGCAGATGGGTGCATCTTTTAAGCTCCCTAATGCCCTAGTAGTATTACTACAGGAGGAGACCGGATCACTCGAAGACTATAGTGATGGGGAGATCATATTAACTATGGGGAGATTGAGGGAAAATTACAATTACGGAACTGCAATGCACTACTACAAACACAGAAAATTTAGGCACATGCACTAACCAGTGTAGCAAAAAGAGTAAGTTTAAGCTTTCTATGTATAAGCTATATATATGCTAGTGAATTTCACAAGCCCTAGGCCTACCTCGAATAGCTTGCCAATTTGAACCAAGTTATAATCCATAGTAACATACCTGTTTAGCATTTCCAACAACTGCCAGGCCATAGCACAACAGAGACAGTGCCCAGGCAAAATTCATGATGTGTCAGTGTTTTTCCTCTAAAAAGTTATAAGATAACGTTTGACTTGTTCGTTTAAAAAGCGGAACTAACACCGTATTATAAACACTATAAGTTATAGCTTAGGGAGCGGTCATTAATTATTAGGGGGGGAGGGCCGGTAAAATATCTAAAACGAGGGCCCAAAAATGTTGACCCCCTTTCAAATTAGCGCCCAAAAATTTTAGCCCCCCACAAAACAATAGCCCAGAAAATTGTGACCCTCCCCTTCCTTAGATAGCTTCCTTCCAATCGGTCAAGCATCAAACAGCGACATAATTTCGTGAATAAAATATGGCTATATAGTATAAAACACTCTATACATGCATTAAATAGTACATCATTTGAAATCTACCAGATCTTGTGGTCTGCAAAATGTTGGAAATGTTCTCTTCCTCCTCCTCCTCTTCTCCCGCATCACCTTCATAAATTTGTCCTTCATCGTCGTCAGAATCAATATCATCCTCATCACTTCCAATCTCCTGCTCGACAACATCGTCGTCACCAGAATCCTGGTTGTTACTATCTCTGTCAACTTCAGAAAGTTGACGGTTATCAGGGACTAGCGACTTTGCTATGTCAAGTGATACGATATCGACTTTTTCTTGCTTTAACGCCCCTTTCGACTGCTTCAAATTTCTCATTGATATATACATGTCCAATACAACAACTTTCAGTTTCTTTATTTTTCCTTCCCTGTAAATAGCTTTCCAGTTGTAATCTTCAAAGGTCTTTCTCTTTTCTTCCAGATTTGCGCACTTTCTGCTATCTTCCCTCTTTTTTTTCCTTCTTTCTAGTTCGCGAAGATGTTCCAGGTACTGTGTAACCAGCCTTTTTTCCACTACATGCTTTTTGCTGAACTCTTCCACGTCGTCATCGTCATTCATATATCATGTTGGTCCATACTGGGAAACCTCTGGATACCTTACTGTCAACCAACATGTGACTCAGACTGATCACGTATATGTTTTTATATTACAGACCATATATTTGTAAGACTTCCGTTTGTTACATTTTATTGTACCGCATATTATTGACATGAAAAAATGTACACCATATTGCTGAAATTAGCAATGAACTTTACAGGCTCGGCAAGTGAGGAAATATATGAGTATCAACTAGTTGTTATACTTGACATTACATGTATAAAATACGATTTATTATCGTTGGTGAAAGAAATTGTTCTGGTGTTGGTGAAATAAATTTCGTTTTAATTATCTCTGCATGGAAGCCTTCATTCATTATCCGTGTACGGGCCCATTGAATTGGTCATTGAAATATAACTTTTTTTACTGAAATAGTTGCCCAAATATTTGTGGCCCTCCCTTCTAGATGGGCACAAAAATATTTGGCCCTCCCCAAAAGGGGATCCAAAAAATGGTAGCCCTCCCCCTAAATTTACCTGCCCTCCCCCCCCCCCAATAATTAATGACCGCTCCCTTACATCAAAATTGGTTCAACTAGATTTTATTTATACATATTTACCTTGAAAATTCGCTTGACAAAATTTTGTGTTTTTACCTCCAGTGACTTCTACAGCTTCTGATCCACTCCAACACGGTCACCCACTTTTATAACCTCGGACCGCGAAGTATGCGGATCAGCCCTGGGAACGAGAATGACGTCAGACAAGCCAACAACAGGAAGTCGTTCAATACAATTGCAGGCTCATTTTCACAGGAATTAGGCAGCTGTGTTTCAGCTCGATTCTCAAGCTTGTATTATTTTATTTGACTTTGTCGACAGGGGATTATAAATTTGCATTTACACGGCACTTGTCCTTCTTAAACTTGTCAGAAACAAGGTTAACATTAACCGCACTGCAAATATTATCATTAACTTTAGAACCCTGATACTAAGGAAGACGTAGAAGAATTACATACTTATGTTCACCAAAATCGAAATTCATTGAATATCATTTGAACCTAACCATCTTACATATTAATGAAAATTTCCACATGAAAATATATGTCTATGGGGATAAGTTACCTGATACGTGTAAAATATATGTTTGTGGGGAGTATAATTATCTTTTTATTTATTGTTTGTAATATTATAGCAGGGATCCAAGTAATAACATTTACAGTGCCGTGTTTAGAACACTGAAGGTTTTAATTAATAATATTAAACGTCAGGATTCTTGGCATTTCACTCGATAGAACTAAATGATGAAGGGTTATTTGAAAATGGCAATAACTGCCATGGTTAGATTTAAAAATGGATCTAATTTCAACTCGAAATCTCTATTTTCGAGGAACCTTTCAAAATTTAATAATTTTAATTAATAATGAAAATGATATTTTTTAATTCGTCTCAGCCAACAATTCTCCAAATGTAAAACGTTTAAAGTAAGCAGCTTGAAATAGTGTATTTCAGTCCATCTTGTTCTTCTAAGGACTGATATTTATCGGATACTTAATACCTGTACATCATATATCTGCACCAAACTAGATAAAAAATTAGTCGATAGCTGGAATCATCCATTATTTAGTCAGTCCTGTAACATGTCTCGCATCAGGCATGTACGGTAAACACGTTTGGATTGTCCTTAGACTAATTTCCATAACAACAGAATTTAAATTAGACGGTGACTAGAGTCTATGAATACTAATATCACAAACTAGTGAAGCTTTTTATTTTTACGTGCAGATATAACGGTCCATCTGTACATGCAGTAGTTCATAATTTTGGACAGGGCCTTATCCCGTATGCCCAGGATTTTCTGACTTAGGGGACAGTAGTACCTATACTGTGTATGCTGAAATAAGTATACAAATCTCAACGCATTCAAAGTCATTAGTTAGATGCAAGCCTTATGCCGCTCCATAAAGAATCATAGGCCTACATTATATGATTCATAAGATTATAAGCGCCATTTGGCTTAATAATTTATTACATTATAAAATTATTAAGTTAGATTTTCTCTCGAAGAACAGTTGCCCCTGTTTAAATAAATATCACAAGCTCGTGTTTATAGTCATGTTTCAATCATGTGTCTTGGATTAATCAAGATGTTGTTTTTCGGACTTTGTCAATTAAGGGATTGAATGTCAATTGATGATTCCCCTTATTACGTTTTCGTAGCGCTTTGCATTGTGGTTATAGTGGTATCACTGATAACTGATAGCGGCCTCGAATGAAAATATTGAATATTTTCGCGAATATTTTGCTGTTGGCTATCGTGCACCTGACCCTAGCTTTTTTAAAAGTTCTTGCACGGGTCAGGACAAAAAATAAGCCATCTTGAATATCAGAGATACAACCATAACCACAATGCAAAGCGCTACGAAAACGTAATAAGGGGAATCTAGTATTGGGACTTTTGTACTGTTTTCATTCCCTGTTTTCAAACTGTAACTACTGTCTGTAATATGTTTCGTATGTAATCTGTGGTAAATCTATTATAAAACTAAACTAAACCAATTTAATTAATTAAACTAACTGACGAGAACATAAATCCATAACTTCTCGCAACCGTTTAATGTTCTGTTTATTATATGGACTTATTCAGAATGACAAAAATGCACACAAAGACGACATGTAAATAAACACGCGAAAAAATTTTTAAAATTATAGTGCAAACATAAAACTAGAATAAATTTTACTTATCTCAAGATATCTTTTAAATGTTTTCGTTTTATTTCCAACGTTAATGTCGTTTTAAATACGAACCAAAGACCATTTGTATTTTCAAAACAACAACAATGAAAATGGTGGGAAATTTTCGAACTTCGTATGTCACTAGCAGGGGAGAAATCACTGGGACCCCTTTCACACGATACCGGCATGGAATTCTGCCGGCAGAAAATCATCACGGTTCCAACTGTTCACACGATACCGGCAGATATATTCCGCTTTGAAAATATGCTGCACAAATCAGTTAAAATAGACAGAATAAAATATCCAACAACAACTTTTGCAGTTTTGTTAATTTCATTTTGCATAACCGTAATGAAATTCTTACGGTTGGGCGTTCACACGGCACTCTGACGGTAGAATTTCGTTCCGTTTTCAAACTCTTACGGTTTGCATATCGTTTTCAAACTCTTACGGTTAGCGTTACGGTTTCACATTTTTTCATATCGGCATCGTGTGAACGCAACCCCTAAACGTAAGAATTTCGTACCGTTTTCAAACTCTGCCCGTATCGTGTGAACGAGGTCTGGGAGTAATACGGAAAATACGCGCACCTGGTCCCGGATGTAGTGACGTATGAGTTCTACGAGTGTCGTAGTTTCCAGTAAAACACCATTGTCCATATAATAAAAACAGATATGGATACTAAAGCATTAAGTTTGTGTCATGTCCTATTTGTAAAATAGCGACCTCCTCCCCCCACCCCCCATGTACCATTTTAGGGGTCCAAAAAATTTTCGGACATACCAAAATTTTTCGGAACATCACACAAATTTTCCAGACATCGCAAAATTGACCACAAAATTGACAGAATTTCCCACAAAATTGACAGAATTAGTCCCATTTTTTTATAATAAGCCAATATTGCCCGACTGTGGAGCGAATATTGCCCGACTGGCTTTGTTTGCCCAACAAACTGGGGGGGGGGGGGCTGCCTCCCCCCCCCGCCCAGTATGCCCATGGTCGTTTACATATAGAAGAAACAGTATAGGTTTCAGTACTGAACCCTGCGGTACACCATGATTAACAGGCAAACGACTTGACTGCTGTCCATCAATAGTTACAAATTGCGATCTTCCAGTGAGATAAGATGTGAACCATTTGATTGCTGAGTCAGCTACTCTATACAAGTGCAATTTAGACAATAGGACTTGATGGTCTATTAGATCAAAAGCCTTTTTAAAATCAACAAAAGCCATAAGAGTAACTTCGTATTTATCCGTATTAAGTAATATTTGATCTGTAAGATTGATTTAGGCTGTCTCTGTAGAGTGTCCTTTACGACAGTGTCCTTTACGATTCAGGGAATACAAGCCGAAATTTTAAGAAGTATATTAAAAATCTACAAAAGAGGCATAAACTTCCAGATAAAGCAAGGCAATCATTTTATGACGCAATGATCTCAGATGGAAAACTCTCTCCTCCGCGGAGGCTTTTAAAGAATATGAAATTCCAAGGAATTGAAATTGTGCTAGAAGGTATCTGGTATGAAGACAACCGCTGAAAATCGGTGCGCGGGCGAGGGGAAGGCAAGGAAAAAATAGCGTAAGCCTCTGCCCGATTTATGTCCCAATATGGCGTTATACCGTGGGGGGGGGGGGAGAAACTCATGCAGATTCTCGAGCAGTTTGGCAAAATGGCTCTGTTGCGTATGAATTATTCATGTCCACAAAGGCAATTTATTTTGGCTTTGCGGAGCAGGAAAACGTGTTGTGCTGTCTGTGGTTCACAAACAACAGATATATTTAGTCAAGTAGGCCTTCAACAACTTTACCGAATTAGACACAGAGGCCCAGAATTCGATGATTTTGATGACAAGTTTTTCGGCTTTATACTTTAAATTGCTGATGTATTTTACAATGAATGTGTGTTTTAATATAGGATTTTGAAAATTACAAGATGTTTGATGCTGAAGGCGATGGCGAGAGCATGGTGTTGTGTTGTTCAAACGAGAAAGAGGCAGCAAAGTTGTTTGGGTTATATTTAGACCATAAAGTTTCCTTGCCAAAACTATTTATTACTTTCATTCATTCAATCTCATAAACACAATATTATACCAAAATATATACGTTGGCCAACAGATCTTTATCCAAAATGTCTTCACATTATCAAATAAAATTTAAAACAGAAAGGATTGTTGAGATAATATACGGATGCTACAGATATCGCCAATTTGTCACAGATATCGACATAAATCGGGCAGAGGCTTCCGCTATTTTTTCCTTTCCTTCCCCTCGCCCGCGCACCGATTTTCAGCGGCTGTCTTCATACCAGATACCTTCTAGCGCAATTTCAATTCTTTCGAATTTCATATTCTTTAAAAGCCTCTGCGGAGGAGAGAGGATGGAAAGCATGATGGTGCCAATGATTTTAATTTATCTGAAAACGGTGAAATTACAATGTTCTTCTTGGAATGCATTCAGGGGTGGAGCGAAGACAATCCTTTTCGGGGGGTGCAAGACAACTTTTTGCCGACAAAAGGGCGTGGCCAGCACGTTGTTAGGGCGTGGTCAAAACGAACCGTATTCATTTTTAAGTGATGTACAACGATGAAATCCGAGCAGTAAGATAATTTATTTTTAAAATAGGCGAAATAGTTCCTTAAAATACATGGTATTAATTTAATTTTGCTTGCTACAGTCCATACTTTTAAATCATCTTCGTATTTCTCAGTGTATATAAGACCGTTAGGTGTAATTTCTAAGACTTTTACTGGCTTTACAAAATTATGAAATGAAGCGCAGATGCATCAACAGTCGACACGCACATGTCACTTCCAGTTTCCTGTGGTATCATATTTCACAAAATTGCAAGAAAATATAATACTATTAAATAGCGTATTAGCGTATTAATAAGTTTTTGGCCAATTTGGCTGAATGTTCGGAAAAAGGCCGAGCTTTC